CTTCGAACATTAAGACATATCTGAGGAATTTTTTGGTCGACTCTTTGAATGTACGTTTTAAGGGATTTAATTCATGTTATATTTTCTTAGCATTTGGAATGTTATTTTTAGATCATTTAAATGTTGTTCGACCAACCAATTTTTTATTAATACATCATTGACATAGACATAAATATATTTTTTCTTTCTATTTAGCAAAGATTAAACTTATTAAACGCTAGTAGGTAGCCTCATCATTTTTTAGCCTAAAGGGCATTACAATATAACAATATAGGCCTTCGCTCATGATGATGGAAGTTTTCTTTGTGCAGGTTGAATGCATCTTGATTTGGTAGTAGGAGAAAGCATCGAGGATTCTCATCATTGAATAGCTGACTGCAGAATCTATTAGCGCATTTATCCTTAGAAGGAGGTAGCTATCCCTAGGGAAGGCAGAGCTTAGATTTGTGAAGTTTAAACCCATCCTCCATTTGTCGTTCAATTTCTACATCATCACTACAATGAAGGCCATGATATTTATTACACGTCTCAGTTGTAGTCCACCACTTTGAGCTTCTTCACTTCTTCCCGAATCTAGCAAACTAATGTCATGATTGATTTTCTCATCTTCAACATCATTCGTTGGTGAATGAATTGAAGCCGAGGTGATGGCATGCTATTTCTTTTGGGATGACTGGCATTTCAAAAGCTACGTGGGAAAAAATTTTTTGATGCTCATGGAGAGTGTGGATCAATAAGTCTCTGTCCCCGCAACAAAACTCTCACTTTTTAGGAAAAATCTTATCTTATTCTTCTAAGACAATGTGGAACTTAATTGTTGTTTCATCCATTTTGAGACCCCTTCACGTTAGTTTTGGATGTAGAATCCTTCTTTATCTACACTTTCAATCGCTTAAAGATTGCATGTCTGAGACTGCTTCATAATACCTTGATTGGTAATTATCCCCTCAAACACATGTAAACTTTACTACCAAATGTTTGTTAGACAGTACTACTCTGAAGTTTTCAAATAGTGGACGATTGAAGAATGCGTTGTAAATGATGGTGCATCAACCACTAAGAAAGATTTCATGTTAGTGAATTGGTTGTCATGTTTCCCCAAGAAATTGATAACCAGATTTTCCCCAGGCCCTCCTTTCATTCACCAAAAGACAAGTATAGTGGTCGGGTCTGTGCAACTAAGCGATCGGACAAGAGATGCATTTTTTTCAAAAGAAGATTTGAATAGTATAATTCCCGAAATGCTAGTATCAACCAAAAGACTACTTATATAGTTGTCATTAATTATCGTTGTAACTACTACATCATCATTGCAACGATTTCCCTTGGTGACAAATCCACATTAGTAATGGTAATCAGGACATAGGACTTTCGCTGTGAAGTGAAAGCAGCGATGTAGTATTCACCCAACCAGAGCCTCTTATGCTCTTCTCTTTTGACTGGGTCAACCAGAGTCCACCCAATATAACTGGCACTATCTAAATGATGTGGATAACAATGACTTGGACAGGCTCACCAAAGTCATGTTTTGCAGGGGCTTTCCCCTACCTTCAGTTTGCATCTATGGCCACAAACTCTTTGAGATTTTTGGCTCAAATCACTTCCTCAACTAGGCTTTGAAGGTATCTATACTTCTCCATGTCATGATCATAATCTTTATGATATTTGTAGAATTTATACATGTTCCAAAGGACAACTCCAGTTTTTATTAATTGAGCCTTCTTGAAGTACTCAGTTGAGTGGATTTCAGAATTTCTCAGTCTCTAGTCAATTGTTCGTTGATCGACTCTGCCATTGAAAATGTCTATCACCACGAGACAACTGACCTTTTTTACGTTTGTGGAGAGGGTCATTTTTCGCCCTTCACTCATTATCTTGCGAGTATTTTTTCAGAGCGGTGGTCAAATTTATCAACTTTTTGGTAAGGTGGGTGAAAATATTCCTCTAACATAATATGATTGTTGAAAAACTCTAAGAATTAGGCAAGACTATTAGGTTGATGTAAACCTATAAAGTGTTCATTATGCACTCAGCCGTTGTGCACGGGTGACCTATGCTATTGCAGGATCAAGATTTCACACTTTTTGTGTCTCCTTATGGAATAAAGTGACATATGCTTGAAGGCTCTCGCTCAGCCGTTGCTTGACGTACGATAGAGTCTATAACTCCTTATGGGGCTCTTTAGTACTAGCAAATTGTTGCATGAACAACTTATTGAAACCACCAAAGGAGGTAATAATTCATATCAGGAGGCCATGCAAACATCTGAGGGCTAAATCACTTAACATTGTATAGAATAGTTGATACTTCAAAGCATAGGACATTATTAGAAGACAAATAAATAAATTAAAGGATGGTATTTGATTGGCCAGATCGCTCTGACCCTTATAGGATTCTAATGATGGAATTTTAAGCTTTTTGAGGGGCTCAACATCGATGATTTCTCAAGAGAACACATTCTCTGGCTGACACTAGACATCCATTCACCCCCTCAGAATTTGAACCTTAGTATAGATCCACCAATGTATGGATATTACGATTACTCAATTTTTTTGGCCCCATGAGCCATCCAATGGCCTTAGGGTTTGGGTTCTCATTGAGGATTTAGTGCTTAAGAAGCTTGTGCTCTCCCCTCAAGTACAGTGAGGGACAGTTATGCCATTTGACCTATTATTTAGTCTCTAAGTTTCTGGATTTTCTTATTGCATAAATTCTCTTATGAACTCCATGTTTGAAGTTGCTCCCATGTTTGTCGCTTCTCTATTGCATGCTCCTCCTTATTGATGCATGATTCCACGCTCAACGTAATTTAGGATGTTGAATTCAAAAATATCTAATGTATCACACTTTAAGAATAAAGGGTTGAACGGACGATAGGAATTAAGAGAGCGAGAGAGAGAGAGAGAGAGAGAGAGAGAGAGGGAGAGAGGGAGGCATGACGCACAAAAACATAAGTTCTTGGAGAAATGACCCATTATTTATAGATCATAGGGTATCTTCCAAATAATTATTGCACATTTTCATATTTGTAACTGACTCTGGTACCCTTTAAGTTCCATAGCTGACAATGGCACCATTTCATATTGCTAATTGTTAAAAGGGGGGGAAACGTTTAATGACATGCTGGTAGTCATTCGGTCGCATAATAATCGTTCGATCACCTATAAGGCCTTCAGTTGGCTAGAGGGTCTTCGGTCGACCTCCTTGAGAGAATCCTCCGTAGAGGCTCTCTTGTCATCCGTGTGAACATGGATCATTGGGTAGAGGGTGTATCGTCGTACTCTAGCAAGTAGCTCTCGTTAGATAGGGGGCCTTCTTAGAGGTTTGGAAAGATATTAGGTTGCCCTTGGCCATCTCTATGAAGATCCCAGTATCATTCGAGGGAACTAGTTGTAGTTGGTTGTTCATCGATTAGGTGCCTACAGTTTTTTCATTCGGTTGAGCTTTCGTTTGGTCAGCTCGTGTATTCCACCGAAGGAAACAACAAGTGGTGTCTCCGTCAATTGACTATCCCAATGCAATCATTTGGTGTCTATTTAATGAGTTTCGTTGGATTTCTTCAAAATTCGTGCGGCAATATTTTTGATGTACAGATAAGATGAATGTCTGGCAAAAAGAAAAAATATAAATTAACGAAAATTTTATTAGAAGAAGTACTAGAACCACATTCATTAAAGATAAGATCATTAAATAGAAACCTAGATATTTCAGACAACTAAAATAAAGCCTTAGACAAAATCATGGAACTAGTGTCAAAAGATTATGAGAGGAAAATGACCAACTGAATGTTTCATATGTGCAGGAGTATACAAATTGATTAGGAAAGAATAACTGAGATAACATGCAACCAGAACATACAAAAAAAGAGAATTCATGATATTAACTTCAAATAATTGGGTTAGCATTAATGAGGACAATATACAATTTGACAAAAATGAAAGAGAATGTTGCTGTCAAATTCTAGGTTCATAACAGCAGAGCAGGGAAAGTATAATTTAATACAAATTATTTGTTTAAAAATAACTAATTAGTTAATATCATTTCTACTATAATTTACTTAACTAAAATTTCCAATTGTACTTATTTTAATATTTACTAGATGATAATTAAAAAGGATATAGCGACTGACAAACAGATACGGTCTACTCTGTAGAATAATAAATGTCTTTTAATCTTGGTCAAATTTTTTGGTAATTACATCACGCCTCAGGTCACACGTCCTTTCGGCCTTTGGAGCTAAGCTGACCATAAAAAGAGATGGGGGTTGATGCATTTAAATTATAAAACCAGCAATAAGTCGATAAACTATACATATTGATTAGATATATGCTTGATTCCAAGGGAGCCTAGGCACGTGAAGCTTGGATCTGAACCATGATATACGTGACCCATTTATATAAATTTTATAAGCTTTCGCTGTTATTTTATTATATGATTCTGTCACATGAGCTAGGGGATAAAGCTTCTTCCAAGAGTTTTTCCTATGGACCTTCCCAGTGGCCATCCACGTTAATTAATTTAAAGATGTCGGTTGCTGAACTGTCTGCTCTATGTGATAGACTGTTAAAAAACAATAAAGTGAGGGGAAAAAAGACCCCACAATTGCCTCCTTGACATTCATTTTAGGCTAAAAATATTTTCAAACATACGATGATAACTTAGTTTAAAATATTTCATTATTAATTTTAAAATATTAATAAATAAAATAATAGCAATTTGGCAAGTCTCTTCTTATTTGCTTTTAATTTTAAAATCAGCCATAAGCGAACAAGAATATAATAACTTGCTTAGGATACTAGTCTGCCCAGCAAACTTGTAGCTATTCACCAGCCATCCCTAATAATTAATGTACTGAAAGTATGGGACAAAATCTGCCAACGAGGTTGAAGTTCTGTATTACAGAGAACTCCTTTAAGAGATTAGTTTAGTTATCCAACCACTGGAAGCACATGGGCGCTCATAATTTTAGTCCTTCTCACCTAAATCATAAAAATAACAGGTTGAAGTCAATGAATATTTTGAGATTAATCACTGCTTCACATAACAGGCATCACCACACTCAACAGCAAACAAAACTAAAAAACATAAAAAAGTTGAATACATAAGGATATCAGCAAGCGCCCCAACCCCAGAAACCCTAAAATAGAAAGCATAAGAAAGGACTAAAATCCTTAATTACATGATGGCACAACTGCTGGTGTTCTCATCATTGAAGAGATGAACACCGAAATCACTCGTCTCTTTCTGGTTTTGGAGATAGTATGGGCTCGGGTAGCGCTGGTAGTAGTATTCAGTATAAGGAGTGATCTGTGGAGACTTGTTGTACATCATTTGAGGCTGCTGATGCTGCTTATATCGATTGTCATGGCCCATCATCATCATGCCATTGTTGTTGCAGGGTCCTCTCATATTCATCATCATGGGGGGCTGTGAAGTTTGATGGCCATGCATTCCTCCCGTCATGGGAGCCTGCTGATGCTGACTGAAGCCAAATCCACTGATGTTGCTGCTTCTGACTTGCATGTTGTTGCCTAAGCCTTGAAACCCCATGCCCATCATGCCATTGTTGTTGTTGATCATGGCCATCCTTTTCTGATCCTTCCCACTAAAGACGTTGGCAGCAGGAATTCCCATCTTGGAATTAATGTTAGCCTGGGTATTAAAGCCTTCGGGTTGTGAATCATTTGGGATTTTGAGGTTGGGATTCATTCCACCGTTCTTCTTTCCACCTCCATTGCTTCCATTCACATTCCCACCTCCATTTCCATTCTTCTTCCCGGTAGCTGCTGCTGTTGCTGAATTGTTTGCTTGCTTAGTTAGATTAAGCTGATTAATCTTTTCCATAATAGAAAGGTCTCCCTGCTCCTCTTCATCATCAAAAAAATCATCTTCGTAATCAAAATCATCATCATCATCATCAGAGCTGAAAACTGCAGGTAGGCTGTGATGGTTTTTTAAATCTTTGAGGCCATGCATGAGTCCTGGTTTTCCATGTTCCTTGTTGCTCTTGTTGCCTTCTTTGTTGGACGGAGAAGCTTTTGGTTGCCAGTTTTGTTTGTGCTTTTGGTTTTGGACATTCTGCTTCTGAGAACAAAGCTCTGCATGCTTCCCTGATCTAGCTAGCTTCCTGATCAAGGCAGCAGAGTCTACATTTCCTGAGACAGTGACCTTCTGGCTTTCTACATTTATGTTTACTGTGTAGACCCCTGCTTTCATTGGAAATAGATGGGTAAATAAATAATTTTCAGTTGAGAAGAAGGAAAAAAAGAGCTAGTGCTCTCGCACTCACATCACTACAATGAAATATCAAATGAAGAAAATTTAGAAACCTACAATATTGTCTTGGAAAAGGATGCGTTTTGGTAGAGTTGAGGAATATATATTTATGGTCTGGGGAAGAATTTTTCCAAAAGTCGCTTTTCTTGCTTTCGTATGGGAAAAAAATAAAGCAAAGGTCAGTACGAAACAGAAACTAATATAGGAAAATGGAGTATTTTTGTTGTTCTAAAAGATCTACCTGTCATCAGGATTAATTAAAACAAGATTTCATAATCGATCAAGGAAGAAGATGAACGATCTTCTAAGCAAGTTGTCATCGTTTATTTTTCAAAGATAAACATCAAACCAAGCATAGAACAGATAAAAAGATTACATCAATTAGAATATTGGAAGACTCAAGCATAGAATTTAAAAAGAGAGCCAAACTCTTTAAAAAAAATATTTTATTTTATTTTTTTGAAAAAAAAAAAGTAATGCTTCAAGCTAAATATGCAAAAACACGAGGAAAATGAACAAGTGACACAAAAATCGATTACCTTCAATTTTCTGGAGGAGTTTTCTCACTTTGTGCTTACAGCCATCACAATGGATGTTCACCTTAAGGACAATGGTCTGAGACAACCCAAACAAACACACAAAAAAAAGAAGGAACTATTTGAATCTCATTCTCATAAGGGAGACCAGGAAAATAAAGCTAAAGGGTCGGTTGAGAAGAGGGATTTTGGAGGTACCTGGATCTTGAGTAGTTTGAAATCTTCAGGTTTAGTCATTTGTCCTGCTGCCGGGTGAAGACTTTTACAACGGAAACGGACAGCCTTGCAATGCTCCCCTTAAGCCTCCATTTTCGCTCCGGCCTTACCTTTGCACTTATATGTGTTTCTTGCTGAGCTTATGCAGCACGACAGGAGTGTTTGCGGTGGTGTAAGTTTTTGCAGCTTTTAACTCCCTCCCTCCCTAATACTCATTATTCATTAAAGCAATAAATTGTATTTGAAGATTAAAGGTGGGTCCAGTAATGGTCGTCTTATAACTTGAATATACAATTTTTCTGATAATTAGTATTTTCTAAATTATTCTTTTTTAAATTTTTATTTTCAAGTTTATTAGACAGCCAAGTGGATGGCCATAGAATTTAAAAAATTCATATAAAATATTAGAATTTTAAATTTATTTAAATTATTATCGATAAATTCTTTTAAAATTAAATCTTATATTGAATTAATAGGTCAATTTTTCTCCTAAAATTCTGAATGGATTAACAATATAGATAAAAAAAACGTAATTTTAATGACTGTCTTCTATGATTAATATCTTACAAATTAAATTATAAAATAATAAAATTTATATGATGCCTCTTATAAAAATTTGTCAAATGGTTACTATGCCCTTTCATACCTCTTCCTTCCTTTGATTAAAATCAACATCAAATAACATCTGGTGACTAAAAATATGAAAGAATTAAGGGCTTGTTTGTTGACATTTCATATTTTATTTTTTTTTAATTTTTACATTTATTTTAAAAATATTTTGAATCAGTGATGAATCTTGAAATGTCATTTGGGACACGCCCAAGGAATCGAGAATTAGTCGGATAAGAAGAATAAAGAAAAAGAAGAGTAGATAATCACAAATAGAACAAATTCTCTGGGAATAGATATAATCGTCTTTTCCATAGGAATGATCATCTTATTTATGTCATAAGAAGGCCTCCGGTAAACTAAATGATTTTTCCTCATTTGATGAAAAATTGCAATTATTTATGAAACATTACACCTTTACATTTTTGTAACCAAATTAGGGGCATATTTTGACAACAACTGCTAGTGTTGTTCCATATCTATAATTACCCTAGACACAGTTTCTTATTTGTAACTGTTTGGCTTGTTTGTTCGGTTGGCTAAAATGTCATTAAGCCGACTGAACTATCTTCAGTCGCGTTTTTGCGAGGAATCAAGGGTGAATTCATTGTCGTCTGAGAGAATTATTCCATGAAGCGAAGGAAACATTACCGTAATATGAATGGTAGCCTAGTTTTGGTCGATGAATTTATATGGAATGAGTCCTTGTTAGGTGATTGTTATTCTTGAAAATAGTTTTTGTGTTAGTTAGATCGTTATCAGTATCAATGTATTGCTCTTAGGATTCGTCAGTGATGAATTCAGTGTGCTAATTTTGTAAATATTTTTTAATATTACAAAATACACACGACAGATACAATAGTAAATATGCAAATTAATCCCAACAAAGATAATTTTAGTGAAAATAATTTTATCTTTTAAAAATTTTAAAACTGTCAAATCCCCTAAAAATAACGCAATTAAACGTATCGCTCAAGTAATAAAGGGCTAAAATGGAGTCCTAGATATCGATCCCACAGGGAAGTTGGAAATGCTTATAAGTAAATTTTTAAGATTATAATGTAAACTACAATTTTAAACTACAAAAATGAAGTGTTAAATTCGAATATAAAGTAATAGAGTGAATGCTAAACAAAATACAGTAAAGAGACAAAGTTAATTAAACAAATTGTTAAACTTTCAAAAGTAAAATTTACAAAATCTAAACAATTTAGCAATCCTACTCTTTACCCTCTTTTGAGTGCATAACGAATATTAACTAATCCAGAGTTTGGTCTCAAATTTTGTGGTTAGGCTGGGAGGATACCGGCTGCTACTTCGAAGCTCCCACTACTCCCTCACCCGAGGGCTAACAATCTCGCATCAGTTTCCCATCAAATGGACCAAATTGTGGATTTTAAAATGTTACCTTAAAATCTTCAATTCTGCATCCAATAAAGTATATTTCCCTATTGCACTCAACTCCATGGATGACATTCTCTCCCATGAAATCAAATGTGATTCTCACATAGTTATAGAAATCATCGCTCTTTTGAAACATATGTTTCTCAACACTTTTTAACATTTCAATTGACCAGCTTGAAAAATAAATGTAGATTGAATTTTAAATCATCACAAATTATTAACATTTAAAATCATATAAAACAAAATCAATTCTTCACAAAATCATATCTTAAACTAGGGTAAAGGATAAAGAAGACTACTCAGAATTCATGAGAAGAGCACGACAAAATACAGATTTCATATATAAAAACAGGTTTACAAAATAAAAGAAATAAAAGACACAACTTATCTCACAATCCTTCCCAATAAAATCTCTAGAAATTCTCTTCAAGCATTTCTCTCTTTACAAGCACTCTCAAATTTCTCTTAGAAGTGTAATAAAGAAAAAATATCTCTTCTTCCCTCTCCTCTTACAATACTTGAAGAAAATCTCCAAGCCCATGATTATCTCTTTCTCTCCAACTCTCTTTTTTGCCCCTTACACGCCACACTTCACACTCTCCAAAACCACTCCTTTATTAAAGGTTGTCTCCCTCCAAAAAGAATTCAAAATTCCCTCCAAAATTCAACCCTTCTGAATTCAAAAGACATGTTCATTAATCCAAATCATATCTCTTCATAAAAAAACCTTCTAAAGTGTTTAGACGCATTGAATCACTCCAAGCGTTGTTTAGAACAAGTGTACCTTTCAAAATTCAAGCAAAATTTGTTCCGAATAGCCTTAATCTGCAAAAAGACGTATCTGTTGTATCAGGCGCCGACTTGATTAAGTCCACGCTGTTTTGGGTTTTAGTGCTTTAGGCCCTAATCTGGTGCATCTGGCACCCGCTCTCTATAAAATGGGGCTTCTCTCACTAATCTGGCGCATCAAGTGTCAGCTCTCTGTAAAATGGCGCTTCTCGCACCAATCTGGCGCATCAGGTGTTGAAATTCCAAAAATTCACTATTATCGCTCCGAATTTTGTTCTTTTTGTTACTTTTGCTCTAAATACCTAAAATTGATATATCCGCAACAAAAACATGAAAATACCCTTCTTTAAGGTGCAATATCACATGAAAATAATGAAAATACCCTTCTTTAAGGTGCAATATCACTAAAAATAAGCATAAAATGTATACTTAAAATAACATATTATTTTGGTGTATCAGTCGGACCATTACTTAGTCTGTCAGAGTTTCGCCAACTAGAGTGTTACTGAATTGTAGTCTTTTGATACTCTATTCATTCAATTCGTTAAATGTACTTGAAATATGTGTAGTCACATTTTTTATGATGTACATATTTGTCAATTCTCTTATTTCTTTGAGAGTGACAGATGTTATAAAAATAAGAGAATTAAATGAAATAATTATTTATTTAATGAGTAATAAGTATTATCATAAATAAGACACAATCAACGCTTTCCTTCCTCATTTCTAGAGTCACCCTATCCTTCATTCCTTTGTAGCATAGGATGATAATGTTGAGCTGCAAAAATCCTATGATAAAAGAAGCACAGATGAGGGCCTTTAGGTTACCTACTTTCAATATTCATTCTTTAATGGGTGAGAAAAGTAAAAAGATGGAAACTTATCATCCTGAACTAAGGAAGAAACTCATCAACTAGGGTCGACCAATTGAGAGGAGGATGGGAGATGAAAGGAGGACATCTAGCACTAAAGGGTTAGCCAAAGGAACCATGTCAGATGTCTCCAATCTGAAGAAGCAGGTTGAGACAAAGAAGTAGAGGGTAGAGGAGGCTGTGGAGTCCTCTGACTCATTATCACTCTTGGAGCTTTGGAGTAGGTTGGGAGTGCACATTGCTGATGAACCCATGTTGGCTTTCGAGTCGTTAGGGCAGCAACTTACTCCATCAACACATTTTGAACAAGAACTTGCAAAGGCATACACACAAGCTTCAACGCCGAAAGACTTGTACCTCATTCTCTGGTAAGAGAAGCAGTTCATGGTGATGCTCCTACGCCCATTGGGGAAAGTCTTCGTACGTTGGAGATAGATAGAAAGATTGGTAATTTACTTTCTTTAATTGAATTTTCTTGTGCACTCTAATAACATGTAATGATGATGTAGTTGGAACTGTAGAGATAGTAAATTCCATTAGGGGGGGTGTCGGGCCACTCCACATTCCGTAGGCACCTAATGTACCTTCTGCCTCTCCTCCATGTGAAGCATCGCCTAGCCAACCACCACTTCTTGTTGATCCATATCAGGAAACAAACAGTCGGCAGGGTTCCCACGAGTCGTTGGCATGTTTCATGGATGAGACCATTAACTCTTTTGCCTGGGTAGATGGCATTTAGTGGGAGACAGTCATATCAGAGTTGAGGGTGGAGACAACCATCCTTTATGTGGATATGGAAACCATCCAAGTCAAAGTGTTGAGTCTTCGTAGCAAGCCGATGGAGGTCTAGTTGGTTATTTTAATCTCTCATGTCTGATCGAAGGAAGAGGGGACAGTAAAATACAAGTTTGGGGGGTGTGTCTTGTGTTTAACAAGTTGGGCTCTAGTCCTTCCTGAGGCAAAGGACGACCCCACCGTAAAACAATTTTTAGCATAAATAGAAGTTTCATTTTTATTATATTTCAAAAAAAATTTAATAATTCAAACATTTTACAATAGATTAGTAGGATCACTTAGGTTTATTATAGATGCTGTTGTGGGTGCATCACTAAACCATTTGGTGAAGCTTTTTCTTTAATTGAAGAAATAGCTACTAACAATTTTCAATGGCCCTCTGAAAGGGTAAATCCTAAGAAAGTAGCTAGTATTTATGATTTTAATGCAATGTCTATTTTAGCATCTCAAATTGTTGCTATTTCAAAAAGATTGATCAGATAGGTGTGAACTATTCTCAAATACCCTCATTATTAGAGGAAAAATCACTAGGATAGATCATTGATACCCAATCATCTTATGAAACTTAAAATGCTATAAATAATCAAAATAACAATCCTTATTCTAGCTATTACAACCCTGGATGGAAAAATCACCCTTATTTTAGTTGGAATTATTATAATAATTTGGTGAATCCATCCAGAAATTTGAACAATTAAGGAAATCCTAATTATCGACCTT